GTGGCTCATCGCTGCGGTGGTGGAGTGCTTTTGTCCCTGGTGGTAATCCGCTTGCTCTAAATACCCCAAACCCTGGTATACGGTTTCAAAACAAGGCTGGATTATCACCACTTTTGAGAGTGAAAAATGTCGATAATGCCCAGCAGCCTGGTCTTTTGTTCGGAGTACGGTCTTTTGTTCGGAGTACGGTCTTTTGTTACAGGGCCCTGTTTCCTTTGTCTGAGTTCGGAGACCCACCATACAAACCATACATCTCCGATCCCAGAGTCCCCGGCAGGAAGCGGTTAATAATGGTTCGCCGACCATCGTGTAAACTTTTGTTTTGTTTCAATCTATTAATGGGTGCCGATTGTTATGTGTGGTATAAGGTGGTGGGTTGCAGCCATTTGGGATTAACAAACTTGATGGCCAAGACAGCCTATCTAGCTAAAGTGTCTTTACATGCTGGCTAATAGGGTCTTACTGAGGTTATGAAGAGCACAGATGTTTCTCAGTCCTGGCCAAATACCATGCGTGAGTTCAAACGGGACACCATGGCTTGTCATAAGGAAAGCCGAAGTGTTTTTTTATGTCAGGAACAAAAATGTCTGGTGGGTGGAACAGTCCAAATTGGTTCTGGGTAAGGAAGCCCAGGGCTGGGACAAGGCACATGCCCTGGGGCTCCCATCTGATGTGGCTGTCTGCAATGGACACTGCCCACAGTTCGATGTGCAATTCGTACAGTGTTACTGCGAGTACGAAAATGAGCTTCACTGAGGTGTGTGATGAGGCCTCACTGAGGGGCTCAAACGGATGACCTGCAAGGGGCTGAAGGACATGTCCCCAGTGGGAATGTGCTGTCTTGATGAACATACCAAGGAGGTTTTGTGGGCACTGTTGTCTGAAAGAGTGGAGCTGTCCAGGAAACCATCGTGAAAGCTATGATGGCAGAAAGGTAGTTGCATATGGTTGCTGCCGCAGTCCCAAGTTGAATAGGTACACGTACATGAAGAAGTCGGCTACTCTGGGTATACATGTAGATACCTTGGTTGGAGCCACACTCTATCTTTAACACCATGAAGTCAACTTTCTATTCTGCTGTTGTAGACTTTGAGAGTTGATTGGCATTGACCTCTTGTGGCCATTTCAGCAACATCAATAGAGAGGCCTGCTACATTGTACATGGAATGATAGTTGGACAACGGCCAGAAGCTCAGGTAGAGATCCACTGGCTGTGGGTAGAGGACAATGGACTTCAGTTAGCAGAAAAAGTCTGATCCGAGTAGAAGGATTAGAGGTTCTCATACTAACAGACTGATCAATCAGGGCAACTAGGTTTGGCATGGCTAGAAAGGAGGGATGAACACATGGTAATGCTCCCATTGGATCTTGGACAAACTGCTGGGATTAGAGATATTGGAGGGAAGGTGTAGGCAAACATCCCTTTCCAGCTGATACAGAGGGCATCTGTCACCCAGGCTTGTGGGTAACGGAACTTGGTGCAGAACACCAGACGCTGAGCATTTTCTGTCAAGGCAAAGAGGTCGATATGTGGTTTGTCAAGTACTTAGAAGATTGACTTGATCACGCTGTGGTGCACTGTGGTGCGAGTCCACTCTGCTGGGTGGATCCTTCCCGGAGAGAGGGCATTTACAATGGAGTTGCTGGTCCCGGGGACATGGGTTGCCTGTGCGGTGGGTCAATCCCAAAATCCAGCACAAAGGTGAACACTGGTCTTGTCAGGAGGCAAAAGCGTGGTGAGTGCGTGCCTCCTTGGTGATTTATGTATCGATCACTGTTGAGTTGTCGGACCGAATCAGAATACGTTTGCCTTTAATGGCCGTGCAAGAGTGACGCAGCACGTTCAAAACTGCCTGGAGTCCAGAATGTTAATGTGACTTCCCAAGAACTAGGGCTCCCATATCCCTGAGACCTGGACGGGGGGAAGGTATGCACCCCATCTGAGTTGGTGTGCATTGGTAGTAATCGTCACCTGCGGATTCATCTTTCGGAAAGAAACGTCGCAATTGAGATGGTTCCATGTCAATCACCAGAGAAGGTGTAGGCGGATGAAATCTGTTATTGGAATTGGATGGTCGATCGGGCCCCATTTGGGTCAGAAGGATGCTAGCAGGTGAAGATGAAGGGATCTGATGTGAAAACAACAAAAAGGTACCGCATCCACCAGGCTTAACATCAAGCCCAGGAGACTTAGCCACGTCCAGGCTGGGGCCAATTGGTGGGTATAAAGAGGTAGATGCATTCCTGGAGTGTCAATGCATTCAGGTGTTGGTGTGATGGAACCCCGTTAAGAACCATACCTAGGCAAGTTGGATTTTTGGTAGGGAAAGGTCTCAATTTTGGGGGGTCAATGAGGAACCCCAGACAGCTGGTAAGCTTGTAAGTAAGGTGAATGGAAGAGGCAGCCTCATCTAGAGATTTGCCTACAATGAGCCAGTCATCGAGGCATTGGAGTATCAGGATGTCTAGCCGGCACAGGTAAATGGCAATAATTTTCACCACCCAGGTGAAGACCCTCGGAGACGTTGAGAGACTGAACGGCAGGGTCGAAAACTCGAAGGTCCTTCCATTATAGATGAATCGAACAAACTTGCAGTCCCGTGGGTGGATTGGAATGTGAAGGTAGGCATCTTTCAGATCCAATGACAATTCGCAGGCTTGAATCAGCAGGGACTGAGTAACTGTTCGGAAAGTCTCCAAAGAGAACTTTCTAAGATGAATGAAGCTGTTTAGTGGCCTCAGGTTGATAATGGGACACCACTTGCCCAGTTCCTTCTTTGGTGTGAGGAAGAACGTCAAAATAAATTCTATCACTGCTGTCATTTAAGGAGCTAGGAAGGATGGCCCACTTCTAAAGAAGAGAGTTTACTTCTGTCTCCAATGGAGGGTACTAGAGTAGGACGAAGAATTTGGCTAGACAGAGGGGTACTCAAGAATTCAAGAAAGTAACAGAGAGAAGCAGTCAAAATACCCATCTGTCCCACTTGATGTCTTGCACAGTATTGTAGGCAGCCCCGAACAGGTTCGGGATCGGAGGCCACAGACGAACCAGTGTAGTCATCAGCGCCCACCCCTCTGGATCTGCGTCCCTTCTGTGTTGTTTGTGCAGGCTAACAAAGGGAG